CACCATTTGACTCCTTGGTTTATACCCAAAGGACTTGAAATCAGCATACTGTAGTGACACAGCCACATCAATGTTTATAGCAGCTCCATTCACAATACCTAGACTATGGAACCAACCTAGGTGTCCCTCAATAGATTAATGGATAAAGAAAATGTGGTTTATATACTCAATGGAATATTACTAAGCTTTAAAGAAGAGTAAAAGTGTGGCATCTGCCAGTAAATGGTTGGAGTCAGAGAATATCACACTAAGTGAAATAAGCCAATCCTATAAAACCAAAGGCCGAATGTGTTCTCTAATATGCAGATTTTAATTCACAATAAGATGGGAGGGCACTAGGGAAGAATAGAGTTACCTAAGATTAGGTAGAGGGAAGTGGTGGTGGGGGGGATTCGGGGATAGGAAAGATAGTGGCATGAAACAGATATTATTACTGCATGTATATATGTGGCTGCATGACCAGTGTGATTCTGCAACATGGGCACTCAGAAAAATGAAATTATATCCCATCTACGTATGATATATCAAAGTGCATAAATGCATTCTATTGTTATGTATAACGAATTAAAACAAATATAAAAATTTTAAAAATAAAGGTATACTAAATTTTGGGGAAAAAAGCTGTATGGCTTATTACTACATCAAAATTAGTGTCAGCCAACTGCTATTCTGTAATCATAGAGATGTGATATTAGAGCAGGATATGACAATCACACTGTTCAGGAAAGAGGGTCCAGAAAAGCATCTACACATAAATGAAGAGTTTCTTCGTTGGCGATTTGGCTTTACAGTGATGGACTACGGAATATAAGGTGTGCTGAGAAATAAAACTGAGTTTAGATTCCTGCCTGAAAAAAAAGGCAAAAATAAATTTTGGTAGCTTCATCTTTGGTTGCAAAAGGTAACAACAACAACAACAACAAATGCTTTCTGAGTGCAAGTAGGCCTTTCAGATCACTAGGTTGTGAGCAGAGACAATCAGGGCATATACTGACAAATTAAACCCTGTTAAAACCAAGCAGGAGTAGGTATCTACAAATACACAACTGAGCAATCCATTCCATTCAGACATAGGCAATATATACTTTCATATGGGAAGATAATATGTACAATAATATATAATTCATTGTGAAATTACATAATGAACTACTTTGAATAAGATTCAGAGAACAATGGAAATATCATAGATATGTATCTCTTAAGAAAGGAAGATAATTACACCATAATGCATAAAAGAATTCTCAGCTTCAATATAAGAAAAATGCAAATTAATTGCATGCTATTTTAGGCCCATTAGATTGT